ACATCAGAGTGTAAATAAAGTTTTAACGTTGACATCAGAGTGTAAATAAAGTTTTAACGTTGACATCAGAGTGTAAATAAAGTTTTAACGTTGACATCAGAGTGTAAATAAAGTTTTAACGTTGACATCAGAGTGTAAATAAAGTTTTAACGTTGACATCAGAGTGTAAATAAAGTTTTAACGTTGACATCAGAGTGTAAATAAAGTTTTAACGTTAACATCAGAGTGGAAATAAAGTTTTAACGTTAAAACTTTACTTACACTGTTGGTTAACGTTAACCATCAGAGTGTAAATAAAGTGTTACTGACTCATGTTTCTTTGTAAACAACCAATCAGTGTTTAAAGCAACAGGAGGAGAGCTAGTAACGTTAGCACCACCGCTAATGGCTAACCAACAGGAGGAGAGCTAGTAACGTTAGCAGCACCGCTAACGGCTAACCAACAGGACGAGAGCTAGTAACGTTAGCAGCACCGCTAACGGCTAACCCACAGGAGGAGAGCTAGTAACGTTAGCAGCACCGCTAATGGCTAACCAACAGGAGGAGAGCTAGTAACGTTAGCAGCACTGCTAACGGCTAACCAACAGGAGGAGAGCTAGTAACGTTAGCAGCACCGCTAACGGCTAACCAACAGGAGGAGAGCTAGTAACGTTAGCAGCACCGCTAACGGATAACCAACAGGAGGAGAGCTAGTAACATTAGCAGCACCGCTAACGGCTAACCAACAGGAGGAGAGCTAGTAACGTTCGCAGCACCGCTAACGGCTAACCAACAGAGGTTCACTTCAGTTACATTATGATGCCTTCAGGCTCTGCTCAGTGAACATGAGTACTGGCTGAAGGTACATTATAACGTTATCATGATGTGTTCACAGGTCATCTGTAAAATGTAGTTTTGGTGATGAACTTGAATAAATCCAGTAGTTTGAAGGAGATGTTTTCACATTAATATAAAATAGATATTAGAGATGAATTATGAGCTGTTTACCTTCATGCCCTCAGGTCACATGATGCCTTCAAGACACATCGTAGATTTATTTACCATCACTGTGCTGTTTCTCAACATCTCCATTGATCAATTATCCTTAAAAAAAAAAAAAAAAAACCTGTTCGATCACATCTGTTGTCCAGATGTGACTCTACATGACTCATCCTGTGTGTGTGTGTGTGGTGACATGGATATAAAACGGGCGTATCAGTCAGTTCTATGAAAACCTCCGACAGGTTCTACAACTTTACATCGTTTAGTCATTTTAAAGTCACAGTGAGGCGCTATTACCTGGTCCTGAACCAGTCTCAGTGTAGTCCTGATCCTCTATCAGACCTGATCCTCTATCAGACCTGCATCAGTAAAGAGACCACCTCCTCCTCCTCCTCCTCCTCCTCCTCCTCCTCCGGAGAACCAGGACTGAGGGGAGCAGACTGTCAGACCTGCTGCACTAACATGAGAGGTTTTCTAAAAGGGAGGCTGGTGCTCAGAGACACTACCACTTTAGTCCACAGGGGGCGACAGAATCAACACAAAGTTAAAGTTCCTCAGAGTAACTTTAAATGATACCAATTAAAAACGATCGATTCACTTCAGCTGATTTAAATTGACACAAAATGATCAGTGAGCGTCCTTCAGCTGAATGAAAGAGCTTAAAGCAGGCGTGAACATCCAGCTAGCATCAGCGTCTGCAGCAGACGTCTGTAAATGAAACGTCACACTTTTTAAATCACCGTCTGAAAGACGCCCTGAAGTTGAGCTGAGATTTGAGACTGAACTGGAGCAGAACTAAACCTGATCTAAAGGTCCCGGGTCTATCCGGATCTCACGCGTAGCACCAAATATAGTGAAAGCGTCGTACCTGAGAAGAGGTCGGCCACAGCCAGGTTACCCAGCAGGTAATAGATGGGGAAGTGGAAGCGTCGGTTCTTTAAAATGGCGCCGATGACCAGGAGGTTGGAGAAGATGACGATGAAGCACACCGCCATGCCCAGAGTGACGATCACGTAGTCGCGGTCGCGCCACAAGACGCTGATGTTCTTGCCGCTCTTCTCGTAGAAGAACCTGACGGAGCGGTTGTAGTAGCATCCCACGGTGTCGTCGGTCTCCGTGTCCATGTTGAGGATCAGAGCGGCGCTGCAGACAGGAAGTAGAAGGAGACGGTCTAGGACGCCATTCGGACTCTGTGGTGGGGAGGAGATCGGCACGCCATCAGAGGGATCCGGAGATCAGTCTGGATCTTCAATCTGTGGGAACATCGAGAGTCAGTTAAAGACATCAGATGACTTCCCTCTGATCAACAAACACATTTACTGGATTACAAACATTGTGAGAAGTGATGCAACAGATCATCAAACTCACGCTTCGGATCAAAAGGAAACCTCCAGAGATCCACGATCACGTTCTATTGCTGCCGATACCAATTGCGATCGTCGATGATCGTTACAGATCGTTTTCGTTGTTTTGTTAGCTGGTCTTCAAGGATCCATAAATAAAAACACTAAATTCATGTTTGAAAAATCCAAAAGTCTGTATTTTTGGTGACAAAAGAATCTTGTCATTAGTAATTTTAACGATGTGTTGTATTATTTGATAATTACGATTATTGTCAGAAGAAATATCACAGTTTTCACGATTATTAACCAGAATATCTCGAACAGGCCGAAAACTAAACAACTAAAAAATGTTTTATCATCGACTATTTCCTTTTAGTCATCTACAGTAGTTATTTACATAAAAACACACATTTCAAATGATTAGGAAATAAAATGCAGTATAAAGTATAATAATGTGCTTAGAGCTCGTGTTAGGAAGTTAAACAGCTCATAATTCATCTCTAATATCTATTTATATTAACGTGAAAACATCTCCTTCAAACTACTGGATTTATTCAAGGTCATCACCAAAACTACATCCAATTCTCATTTTTACTGAATGGAGCATGAACGCACCACAATATAACTCAATGGAACCTGAGTACTACTTTGTACTTTAGAACAGCTGTTTCTGTCAACGTTACTAATGTCGTATCGTGACTTAAGCATTGTGATAATACTGTATTGTGAACTAAGTATGGTGATAATATCGTATCTTAACAATATCGTATCTTCGGTATCGTGGGGCCTCAGTGATCCCCCCCCCCCCGTCTCTACTTTATTCATCATCGTGAAACACATTTCAGGACTTCAGTGTTCGTCTCCGACTTGCTTCTGTAGAATCTTTTCATTTCATCCACCGTCAGTAAAACATGTCGGTGCAGAGAGGAGCAACACGTCCCAACAGGACATGAAGCGTGACGTCACCATCAGAGCTCAGCCTTCACTTCAACCGCCGTGGTGCGTTCAGGGACACGCCGCTCCCTCACTCTTCCTCCTGTTCTCCTGAGAGAAACAGCACGTTCAATGGAAACAGAGGAGACGCACCTCACTATTATACAATCAGCTATGTGGAGGTATGAGCGCGCCTACGTCACACGCAGCGCGCCTACGTCACACGCAGCGCGCCTACGTCACACGCAGCGCGCCTACGTCACACGCAGCGCGCCTACGTCACACGCAGCGCGCCTACGTCACGTAGACACACACACACACACACAGTGCGTCTACGTCTCAAACACTGCGCGTGTGTGTGACGTAGACACACACACACACACACACACACACAGCTTCTGATTTAAATAAAACATTCATAACTAATCCAGATAGAAATGAAGAGTTTAGATAGAGAGAGATAGATATATACACACACACTCATAGATAGGTATAGAGAGAGAGAGAGATATACACACACTCATAGAGAGAGAGCGAGAGATACACACACACACTCATATAGGTAGAGAGA